TGTCTGGCTGAATAGTCTCTCAAGCAGAACACACATAGGAAGAGGATGAGTGTGTGTGGAGAACGCATGGTCTCTGCAGTCACAGAACCTCAGAAACAGTGCAAATTCATTGACTATTTCTTTTTTTGCCTTTTCTGCCCCAGACTGTTTGCTTCTCTCTCCTCTGACAGAGGGCTGACCTTGTCTTTCTAATTCTCACAGCTCAGTTTGATTTTATAGAAACTAGAGAAAGTTGACTCTGAAGAATCTGTGGACTGAGGAACCCAATCAGGGCTTGCAGACTGTGGTCCTCAGAAGGAGCAGGTTGCTAGGATAAGGTGACAGCATCAAACTCCCTCAGCCTGGCTTCATGTCTTCATCATCTTCCCGGCACAAGACATTGCATGAGACAACAAAAGCCAGGGAGCCCTGTTTCTTACTTATTTTTTAGCTATTTAGGCTACTTACATACTTGTTCACAGAGATCCTGCCCCTGTCCCACCTTTGTCAGTGGAATACAAATTTGGCTCTGACACAGGATGATTAACTCAATCCTAGAAAGGCATGTGAATAAACAATATGCCCCATGTGATAAATATGCTAATGAAAGTGTCTAAGCACAAAATCTGTTGTTCTTTGGCTGTCAGCTTGTTTGTTATCAGCATGTCCCTTTAGAAAAATTGGGCACTCAGACATGATCAGCTTTTGCTTGAGGGGCTGGTGATGCCTGATCAAGGACTTCCAGAGTGAGTGCACATGGAAATGAATGGAAGGGAGAAGTCAGGGGAGATAGGGTTCCTAAGGAGCATTAGTGGCGTCCAGGAGGCAGCATGGGCCTCCTGGGCAGGAGAGGGTTCAGATGAATGCCAGATTGAAAGGTTAATGTAGAGAAGGCAATTATAATGGTAGCAACAAAAGTTACAGTTAGAGTATTGTGAAAGGCACAGTGTTTCTATCAAGCTCTCAGAGGATGCACACTCTTCGTTTGAAGGCCATAAAAATGCATAAGGATGAAGGGCCCATCTGATTAGATTTGCTCAGGAAGTTGTGCAATTGTGGAAGACGGTTGTAGGGTTTCATGCGAATATTTCTGCTGAGTGGGTTGCTGCTTGTGAGGTGGGTGGTGATGTGGACTGCATCTCATTTAATAGGTTATGTTTGGATATGATCATTGGTATAAAATGAATGAATTTTCCGTGTGGTTTTCACATTAATTTTGGAGATTAGTTTCCATTTCTTTATAGTAGTAAAGTAACTAGACTTGCATAAATGTTTTTCAAAAGAAACAGCAGTCGGAGCTAGAATCTTCACAACACGTAGCAAGTGGGGCCTAAGCTTTTAAAACAAAAGGATTGATGAGTATTTGAAACTTGAGTAGGATGAGATTTAGCCAAGCAGATCAAATTCCATGTGGTCAGGGAGAGACAGTTGGAGACATGGAAAACACGAGCACCAATACTTGGACCCTGATCAGGAGGGGCAGTGACACAGGGGTCATTCTCATGTGCCTACGGAGACGAGTACCACATGGTGTGAATCCTTCCTTGCCACTCACTGGGGACTTCAGTATCATGGTGTTTGGGAGGAAAGTGAAAAGGGAGATAAAGTGATTCTGATGGAAGATATCCTGGTGATCTCCAAATGCTTGGCTTTGAAATTTGTGCAGGTCCTTCATCTCTTAGTTTCCTTCCTTCGGTCCTTCCTTCCTTCCTTCCTTCCTTCCTTCCTTCCTTCCCTCCTTCCTTCCTTCCCTCCTTCCTTCCCTCCTTCCTTCCTTCCTTCTTCCCTTCTTTCCTGCTTCTCTTCCCTCTTTGCTACCTCTATGCCTGCTTCCTTACTGCCTATTGTTACTTCTTTAGAATTGTGCTGAGCAGGAGAGTTCATTGTAAACTAGATACTCCATGTCTTCCTGGCCTAATGCCAAGAGTTTTCCCAGGACGAAAGTGACAGATCTCCAAGTACCTTTGAATCAGCCTTCTTATGGGCCTTCCACTTAAACTTTTCTCACTCATTCAATCATCCTTTTACTATATTCAAACAACATACTTTGCACTGAAATAGCACAACAGGCATTGTGCTGCACCCGGGGAACTTAGATTTGTTCTCTTTTCTGTAGTGGGTCACAGTGTAGGGGGGCAGACAGATACCTAATAAAATAAGCATGATTCAACAAGCTAAATGCTACAGTGCAATACAGGTATGTGGCAAGTTCTCATTTCCGATGCCAGAGCTGTTGGCTGTTATTCTCCCTTTCCCAAAGTGACTCTGTAGCAGAGGGTGTGTCCAGATATTGCCACCTGCTGTCACTTGGGTTGAAAGGAGGGATGATATTGAAATCAAGCTTTCCTGAGCTTGAAGCCTGCTTCCCTGAGTAATATCAATGGCTGGAGAGAAAACAATTTATAAAATAATAGAAGCACAATAAAATAAAGATTTCACAGAGATAAGAAATCTGTAGAAACTAGCTTGAAAATTAAAAAAAAACTTATCTTAGTGATTTTGATATTTATTCTACAATCTCCAGGAACAGTTTAAAGGAAGGAGTGATTCAACTTGGCTGTGGAGGTGAAAGGAGGTTAGTGAGCTACGAATAATATTCATGGGTGTGGTGGTGATGAAGTTTATGATGGTGAAGCTTGGCGGTGATTGCCAAAAGTTTGGAAATTATGTAAACGGTGTAGTGTTTTTCCACAACATGTGATTTTGGCATTATAGGTACTCTGCCCTCTAAAATGTCACTTTTAAGAATGGGACAAATTTTTCAAATCACAAATATCCATTAAGCTTTTCAAAAAATTGATGAAAATTATATGTCTTGCTATCCTGTTACAAAAAGACCTATAGTGTAGCCAAAATAAAGAATATTCACAGGCAGAAAAAAAGTGACTAGGTGAAATTTCATGGGGGCTATGGAACTCTCACATGGGAGGGAACAGGAGGAGGCCCCAGGATCAGGATAGACACCTTCTTAACAGGGTCTTGGTCTCATCAGTATTCATGCTTTATTCCTCTCCTTATTTTGCTGTTGTCTTCTGGGATGGAACTAGCCAATGCCTGTCTTTATTGTGACCATCAGTACCTTTATTTCAAATCCTCACTTTTTCACTCAAGCTGGGGTGGGGGAGTCTTCCCTGAGTTTATTACGTTTATGAAGTGAACACCATTGTTCCTGCGCCTCCAAAACATGAGTGGCGGCCTGAGGAAAAAACCATGTTGCTTCACCCTCTGTGCTGGATGGAAAACCACTAACTATCTCCCTGGGACAAATTTTGAATGTTAAGTTCCCAAGAAAAGAAATTTAGTCTCTCTGATTCATTGCTGTGGCACTAGTGCCTAGGACTGAGTGCATAATGGATGCCCAGCTAAATGTGTGGAGGACATAAATGGGTCAAGGGCTCAAGATTTCATGTCACTTTGATAAGGTTAGGGTAGGGGGTGTTTGGGTCTTTTTTTTTCTTCACTGAGGGCTCCATTTTTGTCTGCTCTAGGTTTCCAAGATTTGCTTGGTGTCCCAGTTGGGTATGCAATTGTTTGACCCTGATCCCTTTTCTCTTCACTGAGATTAGATTCAGAGTGGTGGTGCTTGGAGGTCCTTTGGGCCTCTGAGCTGAGTTTTACAGCTCCCATCAGATGGCAAATTCCTGTCGTCCAGTCTGGTCCAGCCGGCGGTACACTGTTTGCAGGTCTGCACAGAGCTGAGAGGCCTGTGCGCTGTTCTCTGCATCCAGTGTGGGAAGCCTGGCAGGCCTTCTCATATGTGTGTGGCCTTTCTTCAGGAGCTGGCTGCTCGCTGCTGTGTGCCCACTCGGCTAGTTTCTGTCTCTTGGTGCTTCAAACTGAACATGACCTGAAGTTTAAAGCTGCAGCTGCAGCTTATGTCTTAGTGTTTTAGACCCAGTTGGTACATGTTTGGCGCTAAGCTTCTTGGGGGCTCCTTCCAATCCCTGTAGTTTGAAGAATTGCTGTGTAGGGTGTCATGAAATTATTTTAGAATTCATTGACTGCATAAGGTTATCCATAGTTTTTTTCCCTTTCTGCCTGTTTTACATGGTTCATAATATTAATTTTTCTTAACATTTACAGTTTGAATATAGCTGGAGTTCTGTGGTATTTCAAATGCTTCCTGGCAGTCGAAGTGACCTTTGCTCTTGGTTCACATTTAGAAACATTATTCAGCCTCAGGAGCACCAAGATTTCACATTTGAGCTCAGAAACTGCCACTGTACTGAGCTTGCAACCTCTCATGTATTGGAATCAGGATAGTAGAGAGATTCAAAATTAATGAATATTTACTTTTTAGATTATATCTGTTAAACTCCTGCAACACTTTTCCATTTTTCCCAATAAAATTCTTATGTTGCACAGCTCCCATCATCTTTTTTTTTTTTTTTTTTTTTGTCTTTTTTATGGGTACCGGGGATCGAACTCACGACTGCCTGCTTGCAAGGCAGGCGCTTATGCCGCTGAGCTAAATCCCCAGCCCCCTCCCATCATCTTTTTTACTAAACTCCCAGCCACATCTCTGCTCCTTGACTTCATTCACATAAACAAGTCTCTGTTTTTGTCTGTCTCTGGATCTTCATAGAGTGAGCAAATGAAACTTTCTCACTGAGGCTTCCTCCATCTTTTCTCTTCCTTTACCTTTTCATTCCGCTTCTATTTTGCCCAATTTCTGTTTCTTTTCTTTGGGACACTCTGCTCTTAATTACAACCCTCTAAAGAACTTATTGAAAACGTTCCAATGTGACATACTGAAAATTGGGGCTATATCAGTATCTCAGTTTTCATGAATAGTCAAACCAACAACCTGCACACTTTTCTGGTTCTAATTCCAGCATAAAACTCTTTGTAGTCATGCAACAAAAAATAAAACAGAAAATCATTTTCCCTCTATAAATGGAGGGAAAATGATTTTCCGTTTTATTTTTTGTTGCATGACTCAGAATCTGCCCCTCGAACTCGGTTGTGCTGGCCAAAGAACTGAGCACAGAGACAGAATGAATGACAAGTAAAATTTCCAGTGGTAACAGAACGAGAAACTTTATTTTTAGATAGGATCAGGGGCAGGTGCTACTGCACTCTCAGCTGGTGTGGGTACTGTGAGCTGGTGACATCAGAAGGGAACAGGCTTCTGGGAGAGCTTGGATCCTGGATGGAAACTCCCTGCCCAGCCTGTGAGAGCCAGAGCAAGGTATCTGGAAAGGAGGCCTTTGGAAAGCGTGCATGAAGGTGAGGCTTCTCATTGGCTCCTAGAATTCCTGTTTTCTCTGAAATGTGCGCATCATCAAGATCCAGGTCAGCAGCAGGCCCCAGAGCTGTGGCCACAGCCAGAGCCCCCAGACTGCCGACCACTGTCACCATCACAGGAGTCTGAACTCCACAGCCTGCACCTGTGGGACCTGCGGCGCCTGTGGTGGCTCAGGCAGCAGCCTCCCTCAGAGCTGGAGCTGAGGCCACCGCAGCCCCCAGAGCAGGGAGCAGAGCAGGAGGAGGCAGCAGGCAGACACTGTGCTGGGCTCTTCTTGGGGCATTTGGGGGAGGGGCACTTGGGAGGGGGTTGGCACTGCTGCTGGTTCTGCTGGCAGGACATCTTGGTGCAGTCGGGGAACCTGGAGAGAGCAAGGAAAAAGCTCATTGAAAAAGTTTTAGGCCAATGGTATCTCTGGGATCATTTTATAAAATCCTTGCCCCCAACTCTAGCTGCTTCCTGAGGAAAAAGGAAAATGTATATCCCTTTAAACTGAATGGAAACATTTCCTTCCACTTTACTTTGGAAGAGCAGGTGACTGTTCTAACTGGACTTGGAGTCCTCTGTATTCACAGAAACAGTGAAGTGAATCCCTTGCATTAGAGAGTAGCTCCTGCAGAGCTCTCTGGGCCCCTGTGTGTCTCTCAGGAAGGAGCTAGGGGGCGCTGACAGCAAGGACTCAAGCATCCCACAGAGCTTCCCTGCCCCCTGTCCCCATCCCCTGCCTCCTACTGCCCTCCAGGTTCTACCCTCTGCTGCCTCCATGGCAGACACCTCTGCTTCCCTCTTCCCCTCTGCAGTCTGTGCTTATCTTCCCACGCTCTCCTGACTGGGCATCTGTGCCCTGCTGGACGCTTACCGGATTCAGAGGAGGCAGCAAGAGGAAGAAGCCTGTGGCTGAGGAGGCTCTGTCTGAGGAGGCCAGGGCAGGAGCCCTTTTATCCTGTGTAGGGTCAGTGATGCACAGGCTTAGCATGCTGCTGCTTTCACGCCCAGGTGAGGTAACAGCCAGGGCATGGCCAGCGCCATCCATTCACCGACTTCCTGTGTGCTCCCTGTCTTGCCTGACACGCGGGAAACCGGAAGTCACTTTCCCGCCTGCTGTCATCTCTCTCAGACCTGCTGTGGGTCCCTTCTTTTCCCTGAGAACTTGTATTCTTTCATTCAGGTTCTTTGCTATGATGTTACTGGATGGACATGGCTCTTCCTTGTACTCATATAGCTCATGGTCTGTCAGGAAAGAGAGTCAGACATTAACACACACACAGACATAAAGACACAGACACTGACACTGACACTGATACTGACACTGATACTGACACTGACACAGTGTCCATACACATGTGCGTGCACACACACACACACACACACACACACACACACACGTTTAGGTAGAATCAAACCCCAAGGACAAATGCTGCATTACAACTATGAATGAGATCTACAGGTGTGAAGAATTGGTCTTTTGAAGACAGCCTTCACCCTATGCTCCCTTCAGAGATCCCAAAGCTACCTGACACATGCAAATGTAAGCTGTGACTGTCCTCTCAGCCCCTGGAATGGGAAGGGGGTGAAAGCTGAGACTGCGTGAAGTGGAAACCAGGATCTACTTACAGGGTTCCAGAGGGAGAGAAAAGTAAAGCTGAGTTAGCTTTCAGTGAATAGAATAATTTAATAGAGCTAACAGTATATAACTTTTGTATATGGTCTGCTGAATTAAACTGAAGCCTTTCCGAAGGGAATAGTTTACTATTTGTTATGTAATATTTACTTCATTTGCAATGAAAAATAACTGTCAAGGACACCAAAAAATTTAATAACCTTATTTAAATCACAGCACTTTATATTGTTATATTTTTTATTTGTATTTTCTGACAAAGATCAACATTCATGGTCCTTTTAAAACTGGCTTTAGCAGTTTGTAAAATGATATATAGAACTATCCATAAAAGTTTTTTTAACGGAATATTTTATGGTGTGTCATTCTCCTACGACTATTAAATCTTATATGATTAGTTACATATTTTAGTTAAATATTTTTATTGCTCCCTTCCTTCTCTTTCTCCCTTTTTCCTTTCCTCCCTTTTTCTCTTTCTCTCTCTCTCCCTCTCTCCCTCCCTTTTGCTTCACTTTTAAAGTGATCTTCTTAGAAACACAGAGATCTCATACTTCTTTCTCCAGAGATGTGTGAGTTAATGTTTTGGCCTGAGTCAAAGGAAGCAGCATCCCTGGGTGCTAAGTGGGGAGGGAATGAGGAGGTAGCACCTTCCTCGGTTTCCGTTCAGACTCAGAGCTGCTCCACTCATATTGCTTGGTGTCCCACCAAATGGCTACTCTTTTGGAGAAGAAACTGATGAGAAAGGCTGAAGGAAGTGTCTTCAGACCACACTGTGTAATAAGGCTGAAGATAGTGATAGACAGGTGGAACACTTGGCTCTCATTCACCAGCTTTGCTGGTGTGCAATGCCTGAGAGACTGCCAGGCTGGGAGGAGGGCGTACACGAATCCAGTGGACAGTTTTCAGGAACTCTGGAACTCATACAAAATGGACTTGGTCTCTGGTCTATGATCCTGGTAGTAGACACATCCCCATTTCTGTTTTCCACAGCCTTAGCTTTTGACCCAAGACACTGTTGTAGATTTAGTGGTGATTTTTTTCCCTACTGTGTGAAGTGATAGGACCTTGGAAGTGCCACTCTAATAAATGAGGATTATAAATAAGTGCCTTATAAAAAGATCAAGAGTGCCTGTGTAAATACAGGAGAAGTTGCCAAGGAAAAGTTGGCAGAAATAGGGCTGGAGGAAAGTTCTCACTAAAATTTGACTGTGTTACTATCCTGATCTTTAACTCCCACCCTGCAGAAATATGGGAGATACGTTCCTGTTTTTAAGCCTCCTGCTCTATGGAATTCTATTATAGCAGCCTGAATGAGATAAGAAAGCCTTGGCTTTCTGTCATTTATCACCATTCTTCTAGAATTCCTCTGAGATACGCCATTCATTTCTTGATGTCTTAATTGAGAAAAGCTTTTCGGAATAAGAACCATGGGCCAGCCACCATGGATGGTACTAAGAACAGGGCAGGTAACAAAGAGGGCTTAGAGACCCACAAACATTGAGAGAACAAACACTAAGGGGGAAATACAATTCTTTCCCGGGTGCAGCAGTCTCAGTTCTCGGCTTCTTCTAAACAGGTCTGGGGTTGGGCCTTCTGCAGAAGTGAACATTTATTCGTAAATTTTCTGATATTTCCAGAAGCAAAGGTAAGAGTGATTTTTGGTCAGATGGGTTAAAAATTGAGTCATTTAGGCACAACATTTGAAAAGTAACTCCAATACCATTTAGCACAGCCCAAGAATCTATCCACGGAGAGTCTTCGCTGTGCTTCATGAAATGCAAGTCATCATCAGGTGGGCTTCTCTTGGTTCCACTCCTGATTTCTATGGGCTGCCTCAATACTGTTGTTTCAAGTTTTTAATCCTGGAGAAGGGCAGCACTTCCCTGTCTGTGAAGGGAGTTCAGGTAACCCTGCTGGGCCAGTGTGGCAGGAATCCCATCTTAAGGAAAACAGGCACTCCAGGATTCAGAGGGTGCAAGAGAAACACAGAGATTTGTCAGAGGGGTGACCCGGTAAGTCAGATGACCTGACTTATTGATGATTACTGTGCTAGGGAGACAAGCATGAAGCCTTCCTGGTTTACTTCCTTGGCTATATTTAGATTAGGTCATATGACTTATAAGCCAGTGATGACTCTTCCTTCCCAACCAGTTAGTGTTAATTGCTAATTCAAGATTATCAACAAACAGTTTGTACTTGGTGATACTTAGCTGAGTCATAATTAGGTAGGATGGGAGAAGAGAGATGGAAGTAACACCTTTGCATTTGTTGAGATGTAATCATATGCCATAAAATTCACCTTTGTAAAGTGTAAAACTTTGGTTTTTAAGATATTCAAAACTTGTACAACCACAAGTCACTCAATCCGGAACATTTTTATCACTTCCAGAAAGAACCATGTACTCATTACAGTCATTTTCCATCCCCTATTTTTCTTGCTGGTAACTACGAATCAACTTTGTATCGTTATGAATTTGCCTATTTTGGAGACTTATATATAATGTACCACTTTTTGTTCTGATTTCTTTCATTTAACTTATGGTTTTCAGGGTTTAGGTATGCTATAGTGTATATCAATGCTCCATCCCTTTTTGTAATTAAATAATGAACACTTAGATTATTTCCAATTTTGGTTATTAAAAATAGTGTAGCTAACAGAAAACGAACAATGGTTTCTGTTAGTTGGTTCTAAATACCCTGTAATACTTTCATTCTCTTGAATGGTTTTACAGTGCCTTGTTATGTTTGATACTATAGCGTGTGAAGTTATACTCAAATATTTCAAGGAAAGAGATACTATAGTAGCTACTATGTAGGGTTATGTAGGGTTATCTTGTGGTGAAACACTATGTTGCTTAAGTTGTTCTGTTCTGACCTGTGTTGTTATGTCCTCTTTTATCTTAATCTCCTTTTTTTAAAAAACAAAAAGTAGTGTAGCTATGTACTTAGTCTCATTTTCTTCCCTCTGCTTTAGGTTTAGCTTGTTTCTTTTCCCCTAGTACCTTAAAGCTTAAGGTTAGTTTATTGATCTGAACTTTTTCTTCTAGTTTAATATAGGTGATTACAGCCGTATACTTCTCTCTGAAGTATCTTGTAAGTTTTGATATGCTATTTGTTTCTTTGTATTTACCTCAAAATGTTTTTAAATTTCCCTTGTGATTTCTTCTTTGACTCACTGGGTGCTGAATATTGTGTTGCTTAATTTGCAAGTATTTTTGAATTTTCTAATGTCTTTTTTCTTACTGATACCGAATTTCATTCTACCATGGTTGGAGAAGATACTGTGTATTATTTTAGGTGTTTAAAAGTTAGTGATGCATTTTTAAAAAACCTAATATTGTCAATCATTTTTTTATTTTTGTTCCTGGGGTCGAACTCACAACCTTGTGCTTGCCAAGCAGGCACTTAGGCCACCAAGCTACACCCTTGACCCTAACATCATCAATCTTTCTTTTTTAAAATTTTATTTAAAGAGAAAAAAATAAATGTGTAACAGAAAAAGGATAGAAATGATACATAATTTCAAAAAAATAAACAGTAAGAAATCACTAGTTGATAAATTACATATTTTCCTCTTAGAAATAATTGTTCAAGTTACAAAAGTAAAGCATACAAAGTGGACATTCAAACAGCAAGATTGTAAACAGTTCTGTTCAAGGATCCAACAAAAACAGTAATATGGTTATCAGTCCTACACACTTAAGCATATATGCAGTTATATCCTTTAGAGAACTTTCATTCTTCTCTTTTTACAATAGCAGTTACACATTTTGGGTTTTATTACTCCTACAGTTCTTATTTCTTTTTACACTAGAGACATAATGTGATATTTATAAATACGATTATTTCACTAATGAGGGTAGTCTCAAGTTGTCTCCATTTACCTATGAAGGCCTCAATGTCATCCTTTTTTATAGCTGAATTACATTTCATTGTATAAAAATACCACATCTTTTTCATCCACTCTGCGGTTGATGGCATCTTGGTTGTTTCCAAGATTTAGCTATTACAAATTGTGCTGCTATCAACATGGGTGCACATATATCACTGTGATATGACCTTTTTAGTTTTTCTGGGAAAATACCCAGGAGAGGAATAGATGGATTAAATGGAACTCCCAATCCTAGTCTCCTGACAGTTCTCCATACTGATTTCCATAGTGGTTGCACCAGTCTATACTCCCACCAACAGTGGAGCAGTGTTCCTTTTCCCCCTGCAGCTTCTCCAACATTTGTTACCAGTTGATTTCTTGTGACAGTTATTCTCTTCTGAGTGAGATGAAATCTCCATGCTGTTTTAATTTTCATTTCTTGAATGACCAGAGATGGTGAACATTTCATCATGTATTTATTTGACATTTGTATATCTTCACCTGAGAACTGTGTGTTCATCTCAGATGCCCATTTTGGAGAGGGTCTTTGAATTTGGGGGCTTGA